GGGAAGGCCCTCTGCCCAAAGTCCGTGCCCAGGGAGAAACAGAAGTATTAAAAGTTATTTGGACTAGAGAGAAAAACAGAAAGCAAGAAAAAAGATGGTTACTAAAGTCTGCTTTGTTGGAGATGGCTTTACATGAAAACCACCTAATATATGAAAGATTCATCAGACCAATGGGCTTATGTTTCAAGAGGCTCATGTAACACATCCTGAATTTAAAGCCACCTTTTGCTTACCAATACTTGATGTGAAGAAGAATCCCTCATCCCCACTCTATACAACTCTGGGTGGGATCACCAAAGGGACTGTCATTGCAGTGAATGTGAGCGAGTTGGGCCTGGTGACACAAGGTTATCTGGGGGAAATATGCTCAGATTACCAACAATCCTAAAAGTGATGGATGCATAAATGCAGTCTTACTGGTTTGGCAGCAGTTTCCTGTAAGTCATTCCTTATTGGTGAAGACTACAACCAGGAAAATCATGTGTTTCTGAGTACTACCAAATAGTCTTACCCGTCTGCAGTCATCAAGAATTATTTATGATGTTATTTTAAAGAAAAACAGTAAAATTGTCCAGTTTTACAAAAAAAAAAAAAATGTCAGTTTTACAAAAAAAAGTGGAACAGCAGAGAGAGGGCTTAGAGGACTCGGGGAGACATCGTTGGCATTTGAGATGGAAGGAGAGGGCCATGAGTCAAGGAATGCAGGGTGGGTTTTAAAAGCTAGAAAAGGCCCTGAAACAGATTCTCCCCGAGAGCCTCCAGAAGGAACGCAGCCTTAGTAACACCTTGATCTGGGCCCACTGAGATGGACTGTGGACTTCTGACCTCTACAACTGTAAGATCATAGATCTACATGATGTTAAGCCACCAGGGCTGAGGCTATTTGTTACAGTAGTCATAGGAAATGAATACAGTTCCTCCTATACTCAACTCATGTGAACGAACTGTCATCCTCTCCAGAATGGGCATAATAACACCACTACCTCAAGGGATTGTTGAATTGAATACATTAACCTGTGTAGAGCAGTTTGAACAGTACCTGGCATCTAGTTAGTGTTACGTAAGTATTTGCAATTACTGTCTTCCTCTCTGAGGAATTCACAATGACCTAAAGCCTAAATATGAAGAAGGAGCTTCCACTAAGAAGATGGGTAAATTCAAAGGAACAAGGCATCCTACAAAGAACAGTTAGACAAAATACTGCTTTCTTCATTGTATTTCCATGGTACAGATTAATGACAAATCCATGGTGCACAGTGCTGAGGAAGCTTAAAGCTTAAAACACAGTAGCAAGCTTCATCATCCATCTTCACATTCATCAGTGCTCTCTTCACTCAGTTCCTCGCTGCTTTCTCCTTCACTCTCAGCACTGCTGTCTTCTTCACTGTCTTCATGATCTTCCTCAAGACTCTGAGTTTTCTCTGCCAAAGAAAGGAAGAGAATTGCTTCAAATTCTTCCTAATAGTTCCACTCTTGGAAAAATCAGAATTCTCTCTGCCCCTCCCTTCAACTGAGAAATACCTATCTTTTTTGGCACATGATAAAACCGAGCTGAACTTTGCTAAGTGTGCATAAGGTGAAAGAAGTGAGATAAAGAAGAAACACAATTTTGCTGACAGAAAGATGTTTGTGGATTTCAAGTTAATTTAGAACCTGGGTCTATAACAATACATGTGTATTTTTACTGTTGTCAGTGTAATTTTTACTTATATAGAATGAGAGGAAGTAAGATTTAGGGTAGTTCACAGAGTATTGGCTTTTCTTAGCACTGTGGGGTAATACCCTGCTACCTGGGATGATTAACATGTCCTGCTCCCTCTGAAAAAGCTGTCTGGTCCTGGGGAGGCTGTGTAGCTTGGACACTTCCACTCCACAGAGAGAAGGGGTCACCATGACCATATCCACACAGGATCACCTAGTTTTCATTAAATCATCCAAGGCAGCCATTGACCCTCTCTTAACTACTTCATGTAGATGCACTTGGCCAATCTCCCAAGATAATGGGTTTTTAAATAGTGACTGCTCATAGTTTTATGAGAAAGAAGGTATTTCAATTTTTTTTTTTTTTTTAATTTACCCATCAGCAACATTTCTTCAATAAGTGAGAAAAATTCCTTGGCCTCAGGATTTTCTGGTTCATAGATCAGGACTGAAAATGGACAACAAAATGTGTGTTATTAATGGTCAAAGTATTTCAGCAAAACAGGATCTTTAGAAAGAGATTGCAACTGTCAATCAGAGCAAGTAAAAACGCACAAAGTGATGAACACTAGCAATTATACTGAAGATATATCTAAGTGCAAATAGAGAAAATGCTCTACTTATATACACAGTCCCCAACTTATGACGCAATTGAGTCACAATGAACCACACTCATGACTGTCTTTTTTTTTGGTGGTGGTGGTGGGGTACATCTTACTATTAGTAATGCACACTGCATACAATGTTACAGGATGTAATTTGCTGATTGTTGTCATTCTCAGGTGTTCATATGCAGTTGTTTATATGTAACATTTCCAACCCCCAATGACAAAGATGGGTCTTATAAAGATACTTGATAACAAAAGGCAATTTTAAAAAAAAGCAATAATAATGAAAACTGAAAATAAGGATAGGTATTTAACTTATGTCAGAATTGACTTATAATGAAGTCATCAGAACAGAATCCCCTCATAAGTAGGGAGTTTGTTTTTGTTAAGTGCTGTTGAGTTGGTTCTGACTCATAGTGACCCTGTATAGGGTTTCCAAGGAGCAGCTTGTGGATTTGAACCACCGACCTTGTGGTTAGCAGTCCAGTGCTTATAATCCTCATTGTATTTTCTACTTTCTGTCCAAAGAGCCCTGGTATAGCACTGTAGAATAAGCACTGGACTGCTAACTGCAAAGTTGGTGATTCAAATCTACCAGCCACTCCTTGGAAACCCTTTACAGGGTTGCTATGAATTGTAACTGACTTGCCAGTGAATGATCCAAAGGATAAGCCCTGGTGATGTAGGGGTGGAGTGCTTAGCTGGTGGTTCGAAACTACTAGCTGCTCTACAGGGGAAAGATACGGCAGTCTGCTTCCCTAAAGCAGCATTGGAAACCCAGTTCTGCTGTGTTCTATAGGGGCACTATGAGTTAGAATCAACTTCATGACAAAGGGTGTGGATCCAAAGAGTGGGATCTCCATCACTCCAATATGACTTCCCTATAGGTTAGCAGCCAAAGCATTTCTTGAATAATTCCCCAACAAAGTTTACAAATCCTGCAAAATAAGGAGACCACACTGTGTACCCTGAGGTCGGCTATTCCCTCATCTCCTCTTACTCACCCAGCTTCTGAACACAAAGAAACAGCTTTTTGATGCAACCCAGCCGTGGCATTTTAAAAGTCATCTTTCAAATAGGCAAAACTGCCATTACTTCTTTCTCTTCATCCTGGTAACTTCTACCCCAGACCACACCCCAGTCATTACCTGTTTAACATCCTCCCTTGCTCATCAGGCCCAGATTTAACACTCTGTTTCTTTTTGCTGATCCTTATGTGGTGGTGTCGTCTTTCCTTTGAACTCTATCAGATTTTTTTTTTAAGACTAGTTGATAGTTACCAGTATCTCAGATGCCAGAAAGAGTTATGTCATTTGTTTCAGAGTGTTTTAAGTGATTTCATTTATTCTTTCAGGTATTGCTCTATAGATCTCTACCTTCCCCCTACTAGCCTTGAGAAGTATTCAGAATTCTGCATCTTTCATTTAAATGTAGTAATTTCCCCTGGTAGCACAGTGGTTACAAATTGGGCTGCTAACCTCAAGGTCAGCAGTTTGAAAGGGAGAAAGATGAGGTGTTCTTCTCCCGTAAAGATTTACAGCCTCGGAAACCCTATGTAGGGTCACTATGAGTTGGAACCGACTCCATGGTACTTAACAACTTCTGGTGAAATATCGTGATGGCCCCCAGGGGGCACTAAAACATCAAGTGTGCTATTCGCCTGGCTAAAGTAACTGGATGGTTCAACCAGGTGCCATTGGTTCAAAGAATCCTACCCCATGGCTTTTATCCTGGTATGCCAAACCAGTGTTTCTATTTCCCAATCCAAGAACATAATTAAACTTGATACCAATCCGGGTTAGTGTGACTGTTTTTGAAGAGTCTGTAAATTTTTTTTTTGTAAATATTTTTAAGGAGCGCTGGTGGTGCATTGGTCAAGTGCTTCACTGCTAACAGCAAGGTAGGCAGTTTGAACCCACCTGCAGATCTGCAGGAGAAAGATGTGGCAGTCTGCTTCTGTAAAGATATCAGCCCTTGAAACCCTATGAGGCAGTTCTATAGAGTACTACTCTGTCCTATAAGATTGATGTGATTCTGGGGGAGAAAACAAACCCATCTTCCCATACATAAATATTGTCGTTGTTGTTGTTAAGTGACATTGAGTTGGTTCCGACTCAGCGACCCTATATAGGGTTTCCTAGGTGAGTTTGAACTGCCAACCTTGCAGTTCAAACCAACTTTGCAGTCCAGTGCATTAATCTGCTGTACCACACTAGGACTCCATATAAATATTATGTTGTTGTTAAGTGCTGTCGAGTCAGTTCTGACTCCCAGCAGCAAGTGAGCTTGACCCACTGACCTTATAGTCTAGCTCATTAACCTGCAGCACCACACCAGTAGGGACTCTTTATTAAGTCTCAAACATTAGTGAAAATAAGACAAAACAGACTACTGGGACAAGGGAAACCATTGATACGATACATGATGAATTCCAAAGTTCTATAGAGCACAGAGAACAAATGAATCTCCTTCCACAACCACACTTGACAGCAGCAGTGCGCCACACACACAGGTAGGTGATTGTTTTAAATAGGAAAGCTTGGCAGGACTGCCTCTGAGGTACGACTTCACAACCAGCCTCTAAGGGGCTGTCTAGGAAAGCTCCTGTGAGGGGGTTTCTGTTATTCCTGTGTTGGCTGGGGGAAGTGATCCAAAATCCACTTTCAAATATATTCTAATTCCTGTAGTTCAGCTGTCAGAGGTGCAAGAAATACTCAAGAAAAACTGGCATCTGAACACTCAGACCTAGGCACAAGATGGAATTAAGTTATGCTTGGCTGGAATCATTCGCGAGTCAAATGATTTAGGTTTTAAACTCTAAAGCACAATGAGTCAGATTCAACTTGACATTAATGAGTTTTGTATTTTTTAAAAATTGGTATTTTATATATCTTTTCAAGTTTCTAAAAAACTTTTTATACATTTTAACTTGGAGTAAAATATACATTATCACTAGTGATCTAAATCTTTCTCTGGGGGCTAAGTCTCCTTGTAGTGCAGTTTCTTCAACTTGTTCCTTGTGACACTAATTTCTTAAGATGCTAACCTGGGAAACTAGATTAAATAAAATTTACAGTCAGAGGCAACTGCAGCATTTTATAGAACCAAATGCACTGGACCACAAGGTCAGTTTGAACTGCATGGTTGGTGGTTCAAACTCACCAGTCGCTCCTTGGAAACCCTATACTCAATGTGAGTTGGAGCAGACTTGACAGCACTTAATAACAGCAAGTATTATGAATCTCACAGAGAGGAGAATGCAGTTTCCCAAAACGTATTTGTCCATGGAATTCTTTCTGGGGTACACTTAATAAGAAATCTTGAAAGAAGACTCCTTGGATGACGGTTTAGAACATTTCATATTGGAAGTAGGATTGTCCCATGGGATTGGAGCACAAGATCGGGTACTCTGAGGGCTTAATAAAAACTATAGGCAATCATCAATTTTCAGAGTGGGGGAAAGGCATCTGCTTTGTAACTCAGCTCAATAATAGCATCTTAGGGCTAGCTCCAAAATTCTTATTACACTTTAATAGTCTAATAAGGTTTATAAAAAGATGAGAAAAACTTCTAGCATGTGCTGGGGGTTATTTCTGAACCTGGCTTCCATGAGGGAAGCAGAGCCCCGGAGAAAGACAACCATATGTGACAACCAGTGTCTAGCTGGGTGGCCTTGGAGGAAATATTTAATATCTTATGTACCTTGGTTTCCCTATCAGTAACGTTATCACCTGCCACATCATCAGGCTATTTTGATGGAGCACTGAGATAATGTAGATAAAGCAGTTGGAGCATAGGGTCACTATGAATCATAACGAACTCAACAGCACCTAATAACAACACATGATTACTTTTCCTGGAATGGTTCTGAGTCTAGAGAAAGGCTTGGCTCTTTCCCAAGCTTTCACTGGATGTTTCTGTCTGGTTGAAGGTCTGGTAATGGGAGTAAGGAGGTTCTGCTGTCTATGGGCCCATTAGCTAATTGGACTGGAGGCTGCAGAAAGTATGTCCATCTTGTTCACTGTTGCATCCCCAGTACAATGCCTGGCACACAAGGAGCTCCTAAACATTACAAAACTTAATGAACGAATGAATATAGACTGGTAGCGTAGTGGTTACGAATCGGGCTGTGAACCTTAAGGTAGGCAGTTCAAAACTACCAGCTGCTCCACGGGAGAAAGATGAGACTTTCTGTTCCTGTAAAGATTTACAGCCTCAGAAATCCTGTACAGGGCCGCTATGAATCAGAACTGATTCTACGGCACATAACCACACCACCACCAAGTTGGAAGCAGTCTATTTACCCCCACATAATACCCCTATAGTAATAGGCGAATGTTTAACTACAATTGTGAGGATGGCAAAGGACTGGGTAGTGTTTGGTTCTGTTGTACTATGAGTTGGAACCAACTCGATGACAATAACAACAACATAGGCTAAGAGGAAAAGGGCCTTCATTGTACTTAAAACTAAATAGACAACTCTTTTAGGAACTATCTTTTCTGAAGATACATTTCTATTTGCATTAGGTTTTTAAGTGATAATCTTTAAAGCAGTTTTAAGGTATTATTCTTAAACAATTATGATTATAATATATGAAACAGGTCTTTCAGGCATAGAAGCCCAGGTGACCTGTGAGCGGAAGTGTGGCACCCTGACAGGACTGAGCCTCTGGATCCTGTCTTACAGGTGAAGTGACCAAGGAATAGGAAGATTGATTTGCAGTCTCACAGTCAATCAGGAGATGAACTGCAGAAAGGACTTGGGGCTCTTGACTTTCAGTCTCATTTAAAAACCATTTTTCCAGGCTGCCTCCAATGCCTGGCAGGAAATGGCAGAA